GTTTATCTTTTTGATGGCCGAGTAATATTCCACTGTGTATATGGACCACATCTTTTTAATCCAGTCATCCGCTTTTGGGCATTTGGGCTGTTTCCATGTTTTTCCAATGTAAATAAAGCAGCAATAACCATGGGGGTGCAGGTATCCTTTTCAATCAGTATTTTGTGTCTTCAGTGGGTGCAGGTGTCCTTTTGAATTACTGTTCTTGTGGCCTTTGGGGAGATACAAAGAGATGATGAAACTCAACAAAAATAAACAGCCCCATCAAAAAAGGGGCACAAGAGCTAAAAAGTCACTTCTCCAAAGAGGAGACGCAGATGGCCAACAAGCCTATGGAAAAAATGTCCCACCGGCCTACCCAGCCCCCGTTAATCACACATTATGGCATACAGGTTGCACCATGTTGAAAGTTGAGGGGTTGGGAGAGAGACCCCCAGATTGACAGACCCACTACCCACGCCCATTCCTGAGAAGCAGGAACACACCTAGAAGAGGAAGACGGTTTCGTCCTTTTTAACGGCTGCGTAGTACTCCGCAGAGGATACATTCTGCGGTCCCTTCGTCCGGTCATCTTTCCGTGGGCATTTAGGGAGTTTCTGGGCCTTGGCTGAGCTGCATAACGATGTTGTGGACACAGCAGGTGGAACTTGGAAGTGGGGATCCCCCATATATTTGCAGACAGAGCGAATGAAGGAGCGACCTCCGCGGCCCTCGTGAAACGCTATGTTGAGATCCTGGTGTCTGCCTCCCCGGGGCAGCTCGTCACCGTTTGTTGTTTGTTGCAGAAGAGAAAGCCGGGAAGACCAGGAAAGCCGTGGGCGTGCCGCTCCCGCCGAGGAGACCCGCCAGCCCCCTGGAAATCGGGGCCCCCTTCTACGAGGACGACCAGCTGCAGGTGAAGGTGTACTGGAAGAAGACGGAAGGTGAGCGTGTGCCCGGCGCAGCCAACGGCAGCAGAGTAGCCCGGGCTTTGGGGAGGCGGGCGGCCCGCGGCCAGCTTATTCCCACGGCCTCTCACCGCTGGGCACAGACTCCCGAACC